CCGCGAAGTGCCAAGTCTCTCCAGCCATTTCCTGTGTGTGACATCATTGTGTATCCCCTAGCGGCAGCACGGTGCGTGTCTTGTGTGCTCCTGGGTGGCGTGTGCGGAGCATTCCGTAAACATTCGGGGTTCAGCGCTCTCTTTGTTGAATGAGTTTGAAAGGGGACTTTTGGTGCTCTGTCACTCTTAATGCTACACTTGCAGCACTAGTCCAAAGGCAACCAAACTGTTTTTCTCATTCCCAAAAAGCAAAAAGGATGACAGCTTTCTCAGTGGTAGTGGTAGTGTTCTCAAAGCAAGCAAGACATTTTTCATTCCTGATTTTTGGATTTGAAATGCACTATTTAGCTTGGATATTTGTAATGAAAAGACCCATAATGTGTCTGTTTTTGCCTCCTATATGAAATGACATTAAATTAAACCGCTTTGGTGACAAAGCATATTTGGTTTTATATATATTTAGAGCTGTCAAACGATTAATCGCGATTAATCGCTTCCAAAATAAAAGTTTGTGTTTACATAATATATGTGGGTGCACTGTGTATAATTATTTTATATATATAAAATAATTTATGTATAATTTATATTTATATATACACACACATGCTTGTATATATTTAAGAAATATTTTCATGTATATAGATTTATATATAATTTATATTATATATAAATATTTAATATATAAATACTATTTTTTTTTCTTAAATATGCATGCATGTGTGTGTATTATTTATATATATATATATATATATATATATATATATATATATTTTTTTTTTTTTTTATAATTATACACAGTGCACCCACATATGTAAACACAAACTTTTATTTTGGATGTGATTAATCACGATTACACGTTTGACACGTGTATATATATCACCAAATTATAAGGCCAATCTGCATTCTGGGCAGTTTTGATATATTGAGCTTTAAAGTTTGGGGATGTCATCCTCCTTTGTGAATAGATCAGTTTTGTTTTTTAAAAGTCACAAAATGTACACAACTTTTTAAAAATAAATCACATTATGTAAATAAGTCAGAATAAGAATATGTGAATAACTCAATTTTGACAAAAAATATCAGATAGAACCTTATAATTCCAAGGTGACGATATACATAAGTATTAGGCCTAGATCTCAAAACACCTTAAAGCATCTTAACATCCGATTACAAAACAGTTTTCTCCATTCCTTCTTCCTGCCACTGTCACCTCTGGCTTGCTTAGTACTTAATATTCAACAATATTATTGATCTGACTGTAACTGATGTTGAACGAGAACTGAACTGAGCTGGACGATGACATCATTTTGACATCATTGCAAAACTGCATTATAGTTTAAATGAACTAATTTAATAATTGATGATCTTCTCAGTGGAGCTGAATCAACACTGAACTGACCATCAGCCAAAATGCATAATTTTCCTATTATCACTGTAAAGCTTTAAAACAATCTGTAATAAATAAACTGCTATAAGTAAAGGGGACTTATAGGGTATTGATAAAATCCTCTTATTGACGTAAACAACATTTTTGACCTTACAGCAGAGTGTATTATAAGCTAAGTTTAAAAGTTCTAATTTTTGTTTTAACTTTTTACACATTAATTATTAAAGGATTTTATATTTTAAGATTTACTATCAGATGTTTTGCTTTTAAATTATTATATTGAAATTCAATTGTGTGACTTAATTCACTTTGCTCAGATAAATCGGATGTTAAGGGAGGCCTACAGATTCTGCTTTATATAACCCTAACTCTTACTCTATGAACAAACCTTGACCTGAGCGTAACTGTAACTCTGCACCATCTCCAGATTGTCCCTCTCTGTCTAAAGAGCCCAAGCCTTTAATATAGAAATAGGAGCATGTCAGATGACAAATGTTTTTTAAAGTACTTTTATTTATTTATTTACAAGCACAAGTATCATAGCCACAAACGGTTAACAGTTAAACAGTTTTAACATTTAGGTTTCAAAAAATGATAATTAATAGTGCATAAATGCACAACTGAAAACATACAAGTTTTAAATCTTGATCATAAAAATATATGGTTTGCATAGCATAATTCAAGGGAAAGAAATGGCCTGTTTGGGGCTTATTTGTTATAACCGAAAAAGAAATTATAAAGTAAATTGCTGCAGGGCCTACTTCCGCTAAATCACTACGCATGCATGAGGTGTCTTTTTTTTTCCTACAAAATATTATATTGAAAGATGAAGTAGGCCTAAATCCGCGCATCTGGTCTAAAGATTAATTGTAGCATCGGTTTTCGCACGCTTTTGCGTGTGATATGAAAATGCTTGCTGCAAGTTGCACCTGTTTCCAGGAGCAGAAGATCTGCTTGGCGTTTTAGTGGAAAATGATTTTCCTTCCTTAAAGTCAATTTCCAGCAGTTGTTGAGCTAGCTTTAGCGAGCCATGTGGAGATGGACAAGTGCTCGCTTTGTAAATCTGTAAATGGATAAGTTCCACTTTCTTTCTTTTTTACTCCACATAAAGATTCGTTTCGCTTTTTAAAAATAGGCCTACTTTTTTTTTTTAAATCATGGTTTCCACGGAACAAAGAACAACGTTTTAATAGGCCTAGATCATAGATTTTTAATTAAGAAGTTGTTTAAGTAGGCTAGAATAGGCTAGAATTAGTTCAAATAGGCTAGAATTAGCCTACTACTTTTGTTGAAATTCAATATCACATAATGAATCTGAATAATATCCTATGTTTAACACAATATTAAAAATAACAGTTTTTTTTAAAAAAAAAAGGCTAATATTGGTCTGTTATTTAGCCATGGTTTAGGAAAGCTGATTACCTACTGATATCAGAGCAGATTTACGCGTCAAACGATCCTTATCGGGTCATAATAAAATTAATTAAACGTGACACCACATCAGAATTATCCGAACGTAGTTAAGTGTCGCCTATTATTTATAGCCTAAAAATATTCTTATTTCTGGCGTTCTAGATAGGCTAGGTAGGCTAGGCCACAAACTCATTCGTGTTTCGACCACATAAAAACAAACAAACAAGCAAACAAACAAAAGTCAAGCAAATGCAAAATGACGTTGGATAAGCATCACCTTGATGTTGGCTACAGTACCTGTTGGAACAGCAATTCTACACGGGTTTCTTTTGCCTATTTGGGAAACTCGCTCGCGTTCTTCTCGACACTGGATCCCACGGGCCGTGATTTAGAGCAAAAATTCTGAAATCACCGTATAGACCTCGAATCTCCGAGGACAACGAGCGTCACTCCACGCGCGTCTATTCCTTCATGAAAAGCCGAAGCTTTGTTTCTAAGATTGTCAGTATAGTCTATTTAAAGGCGGACCTCAACATCTGAACATCTGCTCAATTCACGTGACTCTAAAATGCTAACATCTGTTCAAAATAAGTTGCATTCGTGTGCCTCTAACATCCATCTGCCAAAAGCCTTACAAGTGGAAATGAACTCAAAACTTTTCTCCTAAAGTTCACTGCATGACGTTTCTGTCCAAATGAGAAATTTGCACTATTCAAACCAGTTGGGCACTTAGAAAAGTTGTCCACGATAAATTATTCCTAAATAATAATATTAATAATAAAACTTTACGTAATTGTTTATGTCCCTCAAAGGATTTTTATTTAGTTTAACATTACAGCTGCTCAGCAAAGCATACAGTCCAGCTTCATCCACCCCACCTTCCCGTCCTGCTGAAGGCAGCTTAAATTTCATAGACATCTGGGAATTCCACACATGCCTCAAAATCCAATTACACACCTTCAATCGTGCACGTGCTTTTATTTCAAATATTCCATGTTTCCAAAATACTTTCCCAGACTTCATATAAAACCAAAGTCAACTGACAGTATAGGCTACTATTATACCGTTATTTAAGGCCAAATACACTGTAAAACGAAAAAGGGAAACCGACCGTTGCCTTAAAATGTATAAACTATAAAAAGAAAATAAGTTATGTGAGCTTGACAATTCCAAATCGCCTAACTTAATTTCATTTACGCACGAAGTTTGTTTAGCCTAGTATTTTTAAGGCAACGTGTTTCTTATGTTTTTTTAAAGTTGTCAACTGATCACTTTTTACAGTGTAGGCTACAAACCTCGGACGAAACGAAAAAATATAGCATTTAATTGATCATTCGATTTCATAAAGTGAATTGAATGACACTTATTATTATTTTACAAATTAAGTGACATTTAATTCACTGAATGAAATCGAATGATCAATTATGCTCTTGTTTTTGTTGTTGTTATTATTATTATTACAAATTAATTAAATCGGACAATAACATCAAAACACAGACAAAACTAATGAATGGCTTGCTTTTTTTCCACACAGTATTTTTGGAGCAGCCTCTGGCTATACATGCATTTCAGTCCCTGGGGATTTGACCTATGACGCACGTGCTTATTTGTGAAGCTCTATAGCTTGATGAAACCGATTATATTTAGTGCATCTGTAAAAAAAAAAAAAAAAAAAAAAAAAGGTTTATTATTAAATTTTAGTGGTGCATGCCATGAATCCCCCCTCCCTTTTGTCTTCTTTCAGATGAACGGAAAGTAGGCCCTACATATCGTTGAACAAACGTCTATATAACACTAGAGAGAGTTTAGATTAATGTCAGCCAAAAAACAAGTCATACAAGCCAGAATTAGTCAGACCTGCCGGAATAAAAGTTAATATTCCACCGCAGTCTTGGCTATTCGTTGAAGACAATTTAAAAAAAAAATGCATTCATGATGTGTTCTTGTGTAATAATGCACCATTTCCTCTCCATTTTGAGACAATACAATGTATATTGTATTGATAAAAATATCATGGTTCTTTAAACTAAAGATTAAAAAAAGGGCTATCTCAATTGTTTTGATCATAGGCCTAGGCCTATATATTATTATTTTTTAACGTATTGTGTCTCTGGTTGGAATGGTAACAATGAGCATTTACTTTATAAATGAATGTTTCCTAAATGTCCCTGAATCGGACACACGAATTCTTAACGTGGAATATTTCTTAAAAGTTCTTCATCTTTATTGCAGAAATAAACATTTATTTACAAAAGTAACAAAAAAATAGAATGCATTTCGAAACAGGATACATTTGCGTTCATTTCAATAGTGTGTCATCAATAAATAAATAGAATTGTACTAAAACGTTGTATTTTGCACAGGATACGAACTAGAGGCTTCATCCCCCGTCTTCTCATCAACAGTCATTGTGATGCAATTTCACTTTCTCAAAGAAAGCTATGCACAACTAAATCTTCAAAAAATGAAAAATAAAAATAAAAAACATGCATATGCACACATTTCCGACATGTTATCGTCAATAACACTCGCAAGGAAGTCCATATCCAGCGCACGCGCAACAAATCTCTGTCCGTGGCCTTCTCTCGATAATAGCCATGACCTCTGTTGGAACATTTTCAGTTTTCCCCAAGATTATGTAGAAATCTAGCATTGTGTTGGCGCATTGGTCCTCGTGTTTTCCAAGTTCGTGGCTTTCACCTGCGAATAATAGCATGATTTAGGCCAGACAATATAAAACATTATTTGCAGAAACCCCTTGTTCTGAGAAAAGTACAATCGATTGTGGAAATGATGTGCTACAATAGGCCGTACTGGTAGTAAACAAAATAATATGCATTAGCCAACATAATGCAATAGCTGTTTAGCATCCTTTTTAGATGCAAGCTACATTTTGACTAATCTTCATTATCTATTTGCGCTATTGCCAGCTCTAAATAGAGAGGCAGATCGTCTCAAAATAAAGCCATACTGCTAGTAAACAAATCCGATCTGATTACATGCAACAGTTGTTAGCTCTGCAACGTGTGCCCAAACGTGTAGAATTTAGTAAAGGTTTAATTGTTTACTAAGCTACACCATTAAAGGCGATGGATATTGTGAAATCGTACCATCTGAAAACAAAAAAACAAAAAAAGTTTCCCTGCGCACTAGTGAGATGCAGACATGGACCAAGCGCCCTCCATCCTCCAAACCGAGAACGCGTAGCTCAAGCGCTCGTGAGCAACATAACTACAACTTGCCATCTTGGAGTCCAGCTCGTCACTCTGTAGAACCTGACAGAGAAAATCGATGTACCTGGCGGCGAGTTTCAGCGTCTGTATTTTGCTCAGTTTATCGGACGGTAAAGTTGGGATGATTTTGCGCAAAGACGCAAACGCTTCGTTGAGCGACTGCGTCCTCTGTCGCTCGCGCACGTTCGCCATCACGCGCTGTGTCTGCAGCTCCTCGAAAGACTGAGGGCTATTGCTGCTGTTGCTAGACTTTTTCCCCCTTTTCCCAAGAGTCGAACTATCGGAATCCTCCCCGTTTTTCCTGCTAGACCGTCTTTTCCTCGCGCTCCTCTTCGGTGGCCTGTCGGGCTCTCCGTCGCTGTTGCTGAGACTGTCCTCGGGAGACACGGGGGAGCTGGAGGAGTCTCGCGCGGGCTCTTCGGGCATCTCGCTCAAGTCTGCTGAAAGCGCGTGCGGATAGAGACGTTATTCCCTCATGAGGGTGAAATACAATTCCAAACGTATGTTTCTTATTCTGGAGGAAATAACTAGGTATCCTGGTTTCCAAGCAACTTTGGGTTAGGTTGAAAGGGGAAAAGTTGGGGAGTTCTTATAGTCTGGTTAAGTGTTTGTGAGAAGAGAGATGATTGGCCAAGAAGGTTTAAGACGTGAGAAGGAGGGTGGGGGGAACTTTTAAACTCAAGATATTTTCCTTGTCAAGTCTGACAGTTCTTTGGTGAACAGAAAAAAATAGCGACTGCACGCTCAACTAACCGAAATGATTCGTTGTGCTTTGATTCAATTTTAAAACAAGACAGGGCATTTTTTTAATCCAACTCGTTATTTCATGTGAAATTAAAACCTTCTACTCTTTATTCGGTTATTGGGTCTTTTATCACACGAACATATTTGATGTTCACAACAACGAAAATCACAACGACCACGATAACATTTAGTTTCTGAGAATTAAATTTTATTTTTATATGCTTATCATGTCAACATTTTTTAATAACCCTGTAGCCTATGAAGAAACATGTTTTTGTTTATTTTGTTTTTACGAAATAAACACGAATTAGACCAATGTGAATATGAATTATACAGCTATACCTGAAAATATAAAATATCCAAATCAGTGGAATTCAGACTCAATGTTGTAATTTCCATGAAATATACATTACATAATATATCTTGATTGTGACAGCCTTTCACTTGGGAGAACAATTTGAAACCCAAAACCAAGACATAAAACCTAAACATGTTAAATGTAAGTGATCAGAATCTATTTATTTTTAACATATAAATAAAATACTGTAACACTGCACAGACATGTAAGTTTATAGTTTTGTTTATATAAAGTGAACTGATAAATGTTCTCCACCAGGGGTCGTGATATTCTGGTTGATGTAGTTTGTTCATTCAAAAGTCATAATACTAGAGTTTCATAAGTGCTTGAGTTTAATTGGCAGATGACTCAATCATCCAAGACACAAAATTATCTTGACATCATTCAGAAAAATAAAAAAAAACATACTGATCTGGGGGTGGTAACTTTGTGACATACAGTTTACACTTTCACAGCTCACCCGGCCAATAATAATGTCAAATCATCCAATTTTAAGGCAGAACGATCTCAAGACAGAAAGTAGAAACAAATACTCATTGTAGAAAAAATATATCAACTATAATATCATGTGTTGCTTTAACTCATCAAAATAAGTTAAGTAAATTTTAACTTTAAGTTATACAAGATTCAACTAACTTAAAAAGTCAGTTTAATGCAATTTAAGTTGATTACTAGCATCCAAGGTTATTGTACTTAAAAATGTAAGGCAGCAATTTGTCTTACATTTACACCCTGTGATGCTTGGGACAGCAGAGGACACACCATATCCGAAAGTCTGCAGCTACCAGCCAATAATAACCCTAATAACACTTAGGGGACATACATTATATGGGGATATATATTATCTTGGTAATGTCCGATATTCACCTCTACATAATTTAAAGTTGTTGCACAATTTGTTCAGCTAGGGCGGGAATTGATAAACATGGGGATTTTGCTTCAGCTCAGTCCAATGTTTGTGCAGTCCTGTTTCTGCTCCCTGGGTCTCTTAAAAGTCAGGTCCTGGATTTACATTATAACACCACACACGTGGCATTTCCCTGTACAGGACTGCTGAGTGAGTGAGGATTTTGACTTGCACTAAGTATGTGATAATGATTCATGCTCTGACTCAAATATCGAGAAGTCCAACAATCTGATATTTTACAACTCCTCCCGTCAGGCCAGATCCAGCACTGCTTTGGAGCCAGAGTAAAGTCACAGTGTGAAAGGAACATCCTTGGGCCTTTACTCCTGTCAAGTGCTGAAACAAACCATCAACATTGTATGTCTGCGTGTTTTAATATGGAGTAGTTTCGAACTGGTCTTCAATGGGAGGCATAAGCTTTGATTTCATAAGAGGTTCTGCTCAAGCATATCCATCCCTTTCTCAGGATATCCAAGTTGTTCTTCCATCTTACAACATATATATTTGGTATATAGGCCAATCAGGCTGGCCAGTCGGTTTCCTCACATTTTTAAGTAATCACTTTTACAGATAGAATTTTGCTGGAGGTCTTGGGTTAGCAGTTTATTCTCATTATATTAAGGCCCTCGGTGAACTAACGCCATGATGAGAGGCAGACTCCAGACATCATATCGGCTTTTGATAGGACCTGTCTGGACCGAAAAAGAGAGCGGATATGGGTGAAGATTAGAGAGGTGAGGATGAATATAAACAGATCTAGTCTGTCTGGATCTGAGGACTATACTATGAATGAGTGCTTTCAGTGAAGAGGGCTGTGCTGGTCTGGTCGTGGCAGACGACACGACACGCCCACAGACCGTTGGCTCAACGTCTGATACACAAGGCACACAAAACAGAAAACACTTTGGGAGTTTCGAAGTTGTCATCTGATTGGCTGCATCCTGCAGGATTTCCAGAAGATGTGTGCCGTGTTCTTAGACAGTCCGCCTGGAAACAAAGCCGATCCTCCACTGTTGTGTTTCCAACTTTGACAATGAGTGCTTATCAAGATCACCTAAAAGATTGAAATAAAAACGAAGTACTACAAAAGAATGGCATGAAAAACGTTGACACGGCGAGCCCTAAGTGCTCAATTTCAATTTATTTCTCCAATCTGATTGTTTGTGTAATGGTTCACATTGTTGTTTTAAATGTGGCCAGTATCAGATTCTAATGTGAACAGATCTTGGTCCTGAACTGACCCGCATGCATAAAAGAAAGATAAAAAGATATCACGCAGCAACCATGCTGTCATACGGAAGTAGGCTAAACACAAAGAACATAAAAGTAAGCCATTACGTGTTTATTTATAGTGTGATCTGCAGCAGAAGCCAGCGAATTTATGCACAGGCAATATAAAAAGCAAAGACATGAATGCGAAAAAAGAGCAGAGTTTTTAAACATTCACTGTAGTAAACATAGAGTTTATAAGTCCTTCCACTGACTACATTTCACAACTGTCTTGATAACATTGTATAAGTAAAAATCGGAAAGAAATCCGAGGCAAATTTTTGCTCGTTCACATGGGTGACGATTGCTGTGTTTGAATAGAAGTACAGTAGCGAAGATGCAATTTGAGAGAAGTGCCGATGCGTCACAGAAGCCCGTAAGATATTTAGCAGGTTTAATATCTATACTTTAATGTCTTCGATGTGTGATATAAGTCCTGTGAAATGGGTTTTGACTAATTGGCGACAAGAAAAGAACAACAAACCGATGACTTTGAAAGTCGTTGCTATAAACCTCATGTGCCAGAGAAACAAGCGCACAGCCAGCTTTAGAATTTTGTGTTTGAACTTCCGTTTTTGGAGTAGCTCAGTTTGGCCTATATTTCTATAGCATTGCTGTCTGATGAGGTGGATTTATTTAGTGTACACTCTTAGAAGAAATGGTTCTATTTAGAACCAGAAATGGTTCCATCCCCCGCTTCATATATGGAACTCCAAATTGGTTCTATATAGAACCATTTTTTGGTAAAAGGTTCTATTGGCCAAGTATGGAACCCCAGGGTTCTATATAGAACCTAGAGGAACCCTTTTTTAAGAGTGTATAGAACCTTTTAGGGGTTCCAAATACGTAGCGCTGATAGAACCTTTTAAGGTTCTATATAGAACCTTTTCTTCTAAGAGTGTAGAGTTAACTTTCGTTCTAAGAGGATTTTGAAAGGGGTGGTTCAGTAAGATGTTGTGGAAATACAAACCGGAAGACAATGACCGTAGTGCTGAAAAGGGAGCGGGGTTACATAAGGTGTATAGTGAGTGGCATTAATGAACGGAATTCGGTCCATCCGTCCTTTACTGAATCAACATTTGGCTTTTGAGACCCATGATCTGCTTTATGCTTTTAGATTAGACACTGTTCCATTGTTTTAATGTTCTTGGGGCCACTGAGTTGCTCCACACCTATCCAAATCATTACTCAGAATGTCATGGCAGACCTCACACACACACACACATGCGCGAGCACACACAAACACTCATACACACACACAAACACACACACACACACACTGTGGATTTTTTTGTGGGTTACTTTGAGCAATTTTACCTTTTGTGTTATGACAAGTAACTTACAAAATGTTTTTATTTCTCTTGACGGGAGAGTTCACCCAAAAATGAAAATTCTGTAATCATTTACTTACACTTATATTGTTCCAAACCTGTGTGAGTTTCTTTCAACTATTGAACACAAAATATATTTTGAAGAATGTTGGTAACCGAACAGTTGACGGTAGCTATTGACTGCCATAATCCTTTTTTCCCATACTAGATGTCAATGGCATTATCATCCTGCACATGCTATAATCTTACTTATAAATATTTTGCAATTTAAATGTAAATACATTATTGTTCTTAAGGTGGGCATCTTCCCCCATCTTACCATAAATCACAGGGTGGATACATTGCCCAGATCACTATATGATTCTGCCTGAAGTAGATTAAAGGTTAATGCAGGAACAAATCTTTCAGCATATCTGTTACGAACACAGTTCAATGATTCAGTGTTACTTGAAACCATAGTTCCAATGAAGGCTCGTAAACAGCATTGCAAATTTGTGTGGCTGGAACTGCATTCAACCTTTGTTTGTATAACTTTAGAAATTGATCACATTCTTGGGCACATTAAGCAAGCTACAGTAACATGCAGTATAGGCTTATCTTTTATCCCATACACTCGCCTAAAGGATTATTAGGAATACCTGTTCAATTTCTCATTAATGCAACCAATCACATGGCAGTTTCTTCAATGCATTTAGGGGTGTGTGGTCTTGGTCAACACATTCTCCTGAACACCAAACTGAATGTCAGAATGGGAAAGAAAGGTGATTTAAACAATTTTGAGCGTGGCATAGTTGTTGGTGCCAGACGGGCCGGTCTGAGTATTTCACAATCTGCTCAGTTACTGGGATTTTCTTTTTCAACGATTTCTAGGGTTTACAAAGAATGGTGTGAAAAGGGAAAAACATCCAGTATGTGGCAGTCCTGTGGGCGAAAATGCCTTGTTGATGCTAGAGGTCAGAGGAGAATGGGCCGACTGATTCAAGCTGATAGAAGAGCAACTTTGAC